TCGGCGATTTTTTCAAGTGCCTCCTGAAGTTGCTCGTCTGTGTAATTTTTGTAATTACGAGATCCAAGTACCTTTTTATAAGTTCGCACCATCTGAAACAAAAAGACAATATATTAATTAGTCTAAATTATAGAAAAAATTAAAAAGTCAAGCAAGGGGCAACTTTAATCGTATATCAAAGTAGCCCCGTCCTTATTATCAAAGTGACCCCTCAGTGTGTTATTACGAATTTACTATACCTACCATTTTTCTATAAACATGCATTTAGGGATAAATTATCCAAATTTATGCCTAATTACAATTATACTTTTAAAAATTGTGTGAAAATAAAACTTACCTCAGTGAATTCAAAGTTATAACCACTTAACAAAATCTAAAATAAGGTGATGTCTGATTTTAGATTAATTTTCTAATGGAGTCTTTTAAATATAATCACGTCGCATTAACCACTGCTCGTTTACAAGTGCAACTGCCGATTGCAATGTCAAACATAATTTAAAAGTGAATAGCTGCCCATCTACAATAGTTTTATCTTTGGATGGGGGCTACTTTCAAAGTCGCCTCCAAAACTCAAAGTCTCCCTATATTACGGTACAATTTCTTCTGTACCAAATTGGGAAAGAAATACAATTTAAGAAACTAATCACCTGGATGAAGAGCAAGAAAAAGAAGAAGATGAAATGTTGTTCCTCAAAAAGCACCGTCAGAAATAAATTTTATGTAATTATTTGTATTTATGTTATATTTTTCTTTTATATTCATCAGCGCCGCCTCTGACTAGCTAAACTGAAAACGGGAGGTTTTTTAATGTGATTGTTTTTTTAGTTGCTGGAATTTGTATGATTGTAATCATGGGGTGTTTCTAATTAGAACGAAAGTAGCAAACTGAAAATTGCTGACTTAAACCGCAACATGCAATTATAATTATTTACTCTAAGTTCTTTTTTTAGGTTTAGTGTAAATGAAAACAGTTAAATGTAAGCACAAAACATTATCCATTAATGTTCACAAATATGCAAAACTGCAAATCAAAACAACATGAAAAATTATATTACAATTTGCAACTTGTTTCAGCTAACTGGCTATCATCAGGTAATATGAAATTAGAAATTAAATGAAATACATTTTTATATGTTTAAAATTGCTTGAGCAGGATTCGAATCTGCTACTTCTGGGTTCCTTTTTCATCGCCATAATCAACTAAACCACTGAAACGGCCAATTATCTCGTAAATTGCTAATCCTAATTGTACAAAATTTGGGGTACACCTTTTTTTGTTGCCAGATTTGCTATTTCTCTAATATTATTAGTCACTTTGGTTTTTCAAATTGATCACCCTGTATATTCAGTCATTGGAATCTACTATTCAATACGAGTTCAACCATTAGGCTGGACTTACTTGAAATGTATTACATTCATCAACATATTAATAACCCAGATGTAGTTTGTTTAAATGATCAATTACAACCTACATATAACACTTATGATTTTATATATTCTGGAAGGTCTTGAATAAATAAAACAATCGTGAAGAAATGTGGTAGACGCATTCTACCATCTATTAGGGTACTGTCACAAATGAAGCACATTTTGAACCCTTGACAAAGTAACCATTATGTTAAAAATGTTATAATCTTTCAACTGTTACGTTTTAATTTATTGAGACAATTAGATGTTGCCAGACATATTTTATTTATTTAAGACATTCCAGACTACATAAAATCATAAGTGTTACATATGGTTGAACTCGTATTGAATAGGATATTTCAATAATGACTGAATATACAGGGTAATGAATTTGAAATATCAAAATATCTAATAATTTAAGAGAAGCGACAAATCTGGCAACCTTGCAAATATCAAATCTGGAATCACCATATCCCAAAATAGGTGTACCCCAAATTTTGTACAATTTGAACTAGCAATTTACGAGATAATTGGCCGTTTCCAGACTTTTGGGCCACTCTGTATATACCGGGTGTTCAAATTAAAGTGTTACAGCTAAATACCGTCTCTTATAAAAAAAAACGTTTCAGACGAAAGTTTTATAGAACATTCCAAATATTATCCATATCTCAAAGTGGTCCGAAGTAGATTAAAGGGAAGTAAAAGGCTCAAAGTCTGTCGACCACATAAATTTATTAGGTTGGGTTGCAAGCGCTTTCGACCTAAAAGGTCATCATCAGGCGGTAATACACAATAAACAATAGATTACAGTTTGATATATATAGAAAACCTACCACTACAGATACCCTTATACCATTCGACTCATCCCACTCTTTGTCACATAAAAAAGCTTCCTTTAATAGTTTTCTACATAGAGCTTTCACCATCCCTCTGTCAGAATCAAACTTTAATAAAGAGATAGATTTATTTAAGCAACTTGCTATCAACAATGGTTTCCCCTTAGAGCTTCTTAATAAAATGTATTTCAGATTTTTCAACAAATTTAGATTGTCCTATCCCACCATCTCACTTAATTCTTTTAATTCCATTGTTCCTAAGGTTTATTCTGATTCTATTCCTTTCTTGGGCCGTGTGTCATATGAACTAGCTGAAATATTCAGAAAATTCAACATAAACATAGCCTTTAAAAGTACCAACTCACTTTACTCACTTCTAGTACGGAATAAAGATCTTGTACCCACTTTCCATAAACCAGGGGTATATCTACTGAATTGTAATGATTGCAATGCCATCTACGTCGGCCAGTCAGGAAGAAAGACAGAAACCCGAATTTTAGAACATTACAAAACCATCAACAGATATAAATCCTCGAATATTTCAGATACCAATTCCGCATTTGCTAATCATGTTCTCTATACTAAACATAACTTCACTTTTCCAGATAACGCCTCTCTTCTTATCCAATGCCCCAAAGGCATTAGGCTGGACTTACTTGAAATGTATTACATTCATCAACATATTAATAACCCAGATGTGGTTTGTTTAAATGATCAATTACAACCTACATATAAGCCTATCTTTTCCAGATTAACCTTCTAAAGTTTCCTAAATCCTTTGTAAATCCTTCAACTTTTTACTTGTAATAATATATATAATAGCCCCTTTTTCAAAAAATTCATATTTATTATAAATTTCCTTAACCTAAATCTAATATCTAATATCTAATGTCAAATTCTTCTTTTTTAAAAAATCAAATGTCACCCTAACTTCATAACAACAACATAATTTATTCGTGGTCTCTCCAAAGTCTTGGACATCCTGTCAAATTGTTTAAATTTATATTATAAAATTTGTCACAAAACTAATTTAACATATTCAATTTAACTAATGTCAAATTTAATTATTATTAGCTCAACCATAATTGTAACTACGTGTCTTCCATCATATGTCAGTTGTCAAATGTCGTAAATTCTCCACCATTTTCTCATTTAACTTCACTCTTGAATGACGAAAGTGCTAAGTGAATTTTTCTAAGTAAAGTCAAGTTAATAATTAATGATACCCCTTAAGCCTAGGCATAAGGGTGTACACAAACCGAACTCCGTCTACCCCATTTGTACTGGGGATAGGGGAAGTAGCGGTATTTCCCCAAAAGTAACACTTTCCACATGGTGCCTTAAGCACACATGTGGAACTTTAAAATTGATCTCTTTTGTAACCACCTTCATTAGATGGAGGCAGGCGAGGTTCAAGATTGAACAGTACCCAACCTCGAATGAGGGAGGCAGTACGTGCCAATTTTTACAATTTTTTATAACAATTTTTACAATTTAAAAATTTTTAATTCAACATACTTAATTTTTTCTGTAGACACATAGTGGTAAGACACCTAGCATTTCTATAAAAACGTTTTGTTATCCTAAATTATTATTGCAGATTGTACATACCTACCTACTCATTTACAAAAAATTGTTTGCCTGATGATGACCTTTTAGGTCGAAAGCGCTGCAACCCAACCTAATAAATTTATGTGGTCGACAGACTTTGAGCCTTTTACTTTCCCTTGAAAGTTTTATAGTTTTGTGGGGAAAAAATTTTGGCTAAATTCGTTTTTTATAGCTAACCATAATATGACCAACTTTTTTTTCGCCCAGCTAAATTTTCAAGTAGCTGTTACTCAAAAAGTAAAAGTCGAATAAAAAAATATTTCTACCAAAAGTTTCTTGTTTTTTTATATACTTTAAGAATATTTAAAAATAAAATGGGGTTCCCATTTAAAAAAACAAAGTCCACCTCGATATGGCCATATTATAGTCAGCTATAAAAAAATTAATTTAGCCAAAATATTTCCCCCAAAAAACTATAAAACTTTTGTCTGAAACTTTTTTCTAAAATGCATATTTTCGGCGGTATTTAACTGTAACACTTTAATTTGAACACCCGGTATAAAAGCGAAATACCACTGACTGACTGAGTGACTCATCACCAGATCTCCAAAATCATAAGGCCGAATGACTTGAAATTTGGCATAGTTACTCCTTTCTCAACATAGATACCTACTAAGAAAGTATTTTATTTAAATCACATTTTAAGGGAGGGAAACGGGAGAGGGGGGGGTGAAAGTATGTAGGTGATATCGATTTTTTTAAAGGTAGGAACTTGAAAATTGGAATTGTAACTACTGATCGTAAATAAATAATGACATATTTCAGAGTTTTTGGATTTTCACAGTTTAAGGGGGGACACGGAGGGTGAAAGTTTTTATGGGTGTATCAATTTATTTTAAAAGGTAGGAACTTGAAATTGGAATTGTAACTACTAATCGTAAATAAATAATTGACGTATTTCAGAGTTTTTGGATTTTCACAGTTTAAGGGGGAACATGGGGGCTGAAAGTTTGTATGGGTGTATTAATTTATTTTAAAAAGTAGAAACTTGAAAATTGGAATTGTAGTTACTGATCACAAATAAATAATGACGCATTTCACAGTTTTTGGATTTTCACATTTTAGGGGTGGGGGGGAAGGGGGGTTTCTCCCTATTATGCTACTTGATGTACATTTATAAAATGGCCAAAGTCGTTCCGGCTTATTATGTCTGGAAAAAGCCACCAGTTTTGCAGGAGAAAACAAGGACAAATTGTTCCAGCATTGCTGAATGCTGTTACATACGCCTTCTTTTGCATGAGGTTCGTGTTCCAGTCATTCTCAATACTGAAAACTGTAAACAATGTGACCTATCCAACATTTCAAGAGGCTTGCATAACAATTAAATTGCTGGAAGACGATGATCATTGGGATCGAACTTTAGAAGAAGCCTCAATTTCTGATTCTCCTTATGAAATTCGTGAATTGTTCACTATCATGTTAGTTTTCTGTCAAGTTGAAGATCCAATTAAAATGTGGGAAAAATACTGAGACACTTTTGCGGAAGTCATTAGAAGACAAATAAGCAGAGAACAAGAAAACGTTAAGTTGGTTCTTGACATTATTTATAATCAATGCCTAATTCTTCTTGAAGATATTGTCATTGCTATGTCAGGTAAAACTTTTTTACAATTTGGACTTATTTCACCATCACGAGAACAAGGGACTGTTATTAACAACCATCAATATCTAAGTGAATTGGCTTATGACACAGATCAGCTTACCGAAGAAGTTGCAGTAAATGTTTTAAAATTAAATATAGAACAGTAAAAAACCTACGAGAAAATATTAAATAGTGTTGCTTCTAACTATGGGAAATTATTTTGTCTTGACGCTCCTGGTGGGACTGGAATAACATTCTTAATAAATTTATTGCTTACAAAAATTAGAAGTGAACAAAGTATCGCTCTAAACATGAATCATTCGGATAATATTCTTTGTAACATCTCTAAGCAGAGTGATAAGGCACATGTCCTTAAAGAAGCAAAACTAATTATAAGGGATGAATGCACTATGGCTCACAAGAATGCTATTGAGGATCTTAACAGAACGCTCAAGGATATAAGAAGTTGTAACCAAATTATGGGTGGAATAACTGTTTTTTTGGCTGGTGACTTTAGACAAACATTGCCTGTTGTGCCACGAGGTACACGTGCAGATGAGGTCAAAGCCTGTCTAAAATCATTAACTTTGTGGACCCGTGTCGCAAGTTGAAGGAAGAATACACATTCCGGATATCCTTGGTAATATTGTTGGGGATTTAATCACCTTGACTGATAAAATATACCCAAATATTCGTCAGATTGAAGTTGGTTGCACTTCGTGGTTAAAAGAAAGAGCTATTCTCGCTCCAACAAATGACTCCGCAAATATCATTAACAACTTTCTTTTAGAGAAGCTACCAACTGACCATGTAAATTATGAATCTGTGGATACAGTAGTATAAGTAGACGATGCTATTCATTATCCTTAATCTTAAAATTGGTACACCAATAATGCTACTGCGCAATTTGAATCCTCCAAAACCATGTTATGGCACCAGACTTCAAGTTAAAAGTCTGCATAAAACTGTTATTGAAGCTGCAATTTTAACAGGAAAATACTAAGGAGAAGTTGTATTTATCCCGAGGAGTCCTCTTATTCCAACAGATTACCATTTTAAGTTCAAACGTCTTTAATATCCTGTCAGAGTTTGTTATGCCAGTATTGTTACTAGTCATTACTGACTAACCTACAATTTTAATCTAAAAATCTTACAAATTAATAGTTATGCCATGACTATCAATAAAGGGCAAGGGCAGAGTTTGAGAATGGCTGGTGTGGATCTGAGAAGTGATTGTTTTTCTCATGGTCAGTTTTACGTGGCGTGTTCAAGAGTCTGTTCACCTGACAACTTAGTCATTCTTCAGCCAGAAAAGAAAACGAAGAACATTGTTTACAGGGAAGTTTTAAGTTTGTAGTTAAATTAATTTATTTACTTCAATGAGAGATACTGATAGTTTAAATGTTTAAATTAATACAAAAAACAAATTGTTGTAAAAAATAAAAATTATTTACAAAAATTGCCATTGTTAATAATATAATTTTATTACCTTGAATATTGGAAATTATTTGCATTATCTAACCCTTTTTATTCATATCACACGACTAGGTTTCAAGATCAAATTTTATCATGTGCCTAGCGATGCGGGCGGGTATCAGCTAGTCTTTCTATAGAGTTAAAGCCAATAATAGGATTACATTAAATTTATTTCAGGATTTATATTATTATTAATATTTTGATTATGGGTTTGAAACATTTTTAATTAGTTAATTAGATGTACGAAGGCTGTTTAAGTACTTCATGTGCTAAGTGTAACATGTCAATACACCATAAGAAAATAAGTTGACGTTTAATTTGGTGGGGAAAACTATGGCTACAACCAATATTATTAAGGTACTCATTAATCAATCTTACAGTAGGTACCTCATTTCGACTAAAAAACTAATTCTGTTTTTCGGACGACCCTGTTTGGTTATCCCCTATTCCCATTTTAATTTAGAAAGACTACAGCGCGGGGAGCATTAAAAACCGAACACAATAAAAGGATCAGCAATTAAAAGTAATGTCAATATTACGGTCTCGAAAATCTGCAGATGCACATAGCTCTGGTTGTTATCACTTTTTTTATGTTTGATGGTTTTGTTTGATGGTTTTCCTAAAGCGACTTTAATTTCTAAAGATATAAACAGCAAGCAGCGTAAGGTTTGTTTCAAATACAATAAAAGTTTATTTCGTTTTGAGGGAATGAACAGATCGTTAGTGGTAGTGGTTTTTTTTTTGAAAGTTGCAAAAGTTGTTTTTACTACGAAGATTATTTGATAATTGCCTTAGTAGAACCATTAACCGTAATTTTTATTCTACGTTTGCGTAAAAGAAAGTCTCTCGAGTTATATATTGTGAACATAATAGACTCTTTTATGATATAAATAGATTGTATTTGCTTAATAATCATTTTTACTTTATAAAAAGGAAAAAAACCTTGTTGTTATTTGAGGTAGCTTTAGTGTAGGCTTTAGTCCAGAGTTGTCTTAGATATCCATTTGAGTTTATTTTCACTTAATAAAATTTTTAAAAATAAAAGTTCCGTTTTGGAATTTATAACTGGCGCAGTCAGTAGGATACACGCGAGTCGTGAAAAAGTTTAATCGAGTTAGCTGTTGCCGTGCCGAATATTAACTTTTCGTGACTTTGGAATTTTAATTCCTTAAGTGTGGTTCCTAACGAAGAATTGGTCGACGTCATCCCTTTTGTGGCGGCAGTCTAACCTTCACGTAGAAGAATCGTCGATTGGACATCATCCCATGGTGGGACATCCGAAACAACAATTAGGAAGCAATTGAAGAAAATAGTAAGTGCCAAATAATTTCCCTTTCCTATAATTTAGAGGTATTAAAAAGATTGTACTATTATATAATTTTGAAACTATTTTATATTTTATTTTGATTTTATTTTATGAGTGAATCAGAAATTGATACATTGTTTGAGCAATTTTCAAATATATCGAGTTGCCGACCTCTTTGTTAGTTCTGGCACTGGAACTATGTCACTAGGATAAACATTAGTTATTTTGCTCTTTATCAAGACGTGTATTATTGTTCGGAAAATTTTGATTTTCTTTTTGCATTTCGGCAGCAAATTCTGCGTCTGTCAAAATATTTCTTCTTAAGGGATAGATCCCAGTGGCACTAAACCCTATAATAGCTCTTTCCCCAGATTGCACTTTAAGATAGGCGCTACCAAATAACTGGCAAATATCAAAATGTGTTACTGCACGTTTTTCCGTTCTCATGGAGATTCTTACTTCTTCGTTATAGAAGGTCTTTAATGCACCCATGACGGTCTTGTCGAGGGGCTGAAGTTTATGCGTCGTATGTGGTGGTAAGCATAAAATAGTAACATAATTGTCTTTGGCTTTGACAAGTACATCTAGATTTATAGTGTGAGTGTGATGGTCATCCAATGTCAGCAGTATTGGTTTTGTTGCTGAAGGTTTGGCTTTTTCTAGGAAGTGGTCAAACCATTTTGTAAATAAATCTGTTTGAATCCACCCGGATGAGTGAAAAGCAAACAGCGATACTGGAGGTGCCCCCTTTTTTAGCTGGTCATTTGCTTTTTTGCGCGGAAAAATGATCATGGGTGGCACAAAATCACCTGCCGCACTCATACACATTACGATGGTTATAAGAGAGCCTCTCTCTGCTGCATCAACTTGTCGTTTGCCTCTAAGCGATACCACTTCTGGGCATCTTGATTGCACAATAGACAACCCCGACTCATCTACTTTATATATTTGGTGAGGTCCATAATTTCGCTCTGCCATAGTCGAAAAACTCAGTGACATTTTTCCTATTAAAACCAACGGCTCTTGCTAGAGAAGTTCCAGTGGGTTTTCGTAAAGTTAGTGTAGCCTTATGCCTGTTCATAAATGACGAAAACCAATCTTTTCCCGCAGATTCGCGTAAAAGGGAGAATGGATGTGGTATATTGTTACGCTTAGCAAGTTGAAATGCTAAAGATCGGACATCCCTTCTTGTCAGACCAAAAAACTTTTGATCCGTTATAAGTAAATATCGAACTAGTTCCTCTTCTAAAAAATTGGTTTTTTGCCCAACTTCGTTTTACTAACAGTTGCTAGAGGCCCTTTAGTGCTACAGAGGCGAAAAAGTGTTGAGCGTGGAACTTTAAATTTTTTCGCTGTGGCCAAATAACCCATATTTTTGTTTCTTACTGATTCAATGGCATTTTCCATATCTTTCTCACTCCATTGTTTTCGCTTCTTCTTCAAGGAAGTAGCCATTATTTCTGAAAATAAAAAATCGCGTACCTTATACTCGGCGGGTAATATGGGATAGCAATAAGGCGGGTAATATGGAATATTCCATATTACACGCTACACAAAATGTAAACAAAACAAGTACTCTATTTGTTATTACGAAAAATATCAAAGCAAACCGTTAAGATTTCTACCATCTTATGCCTAAACAAACTTCTCATACGTTTAAACAAGTTTATTTAAGCAAAATGTAGTCACAAAACGATTTTAACTGACACCGTGCACAAACTTTAAATACGTGAAAATCATAACCTCACATTTTTCAGCGTTGGTGGCGTCTAGTGGCAATTTTATTTCATGCCAGCAGTATACAATTTTAACGAGCATTCTAATGTCGTCATCACCTTAGAGATGGAGCTACCCAGTTTAAAATTATAAAGAATTCCATATTACCCGACTATTCCATATATGCGGACTTTACTCTAGAGGTATTTGAAAATTTAAAAATTTGAAAATGAACCTAAAAACGGCGCTTGTCCCGAATTAGCACATCAAACTATCGGCTGGAAATATCGACAGTCAATGTCGCGATGGTCCAGTGATTAGTGCATTTGTGTACAGAATAAAGATGTCTGGGTTTGAATCCTGGCGCTGACAGGCTTTTTTTTTTTCAAA